CTTATCAATTCTTCTCGTGTGTCGACATTGTCCCTTAAACACAGGGCACCTCTACATAATCTAACTAATAAACTGATTAGTTTTCCATAACATTTTCCTTTTTTCTATATAAAATTGAACCTTTTTGGTACTATTTTTTTGTTTTAATAAACTTTTTTGGGTACTATCTTCTCCCATTGTTTTCTGTCGCTTTTTTCTTGGTCTTCTGATAAAACAATGAAACATTTTCATGAGCCTTTTGACAATCTTTATTTATTTTTTGTCATATTAACGTTTGTTTTTTTTTTTTTGAGAAAAAACATTAACGTTTGTTCTAAATTCTATGTTAGTAAATCTAATCATATATAGAGAACAAACCATCTATAACAAAATTCTCCCAACGCAACTAATGTATGACCAACCTCGAAAGATACCTCAAGTTGATTGTTGGGCATTCTTCTCAATTCTTGGATTCTACCCTTTTTCTTAGAGCATCATCAATGGAGGTGCTTAAAAAATTCTTAAAATATAAAATTATTAAAATTTGAGTAAAAAAAAGAAAGAGAGTATTTTTGTGGGATGTATTGAAATATAAAATTTGAGTAAAGAGAGAAGATAGTGGGTATGTTTAAATATAAAATTAATAAAAATTGAGTAGAAGGAAGAGAAAGTTGCTTAAATAAGAACTTTTGCAGAAAGTTTTTAAAATGATGAGAGAGTGTTTAAATATAAAATTAATAAAAATTGAGTAAAAAAATGAAAGAAAAAATAAAAAATTGAGTAAAAAGAAGAGAGAGTGTGTGTTTTAATAATTTTATATTTAAGAACCGGGCTTAAAAACTCCCCATTGATGATGGTCTTAGACATCTATCTTGAGAACAACATGGCCGGTCCTGATTTTATTAGTGAATTAACGTTTCATTTAACATAGAATTATCCAATTTTATCAAGACCAATCCTTAACCTCCTTGAACCGAAAAGGCTTTTTAACAAACCTTTTTTTTTTTTTTTTGCTAAAATTTGCTTTTAACAAACCTAATATACTAGTAGTCATACAAAAATCAAAATGAATGTATTTCGGACATTTTTATTCTCCCGCAAATATTGTATTTGATTCTTGGAGTATTAGCAATAATATTTTTGAAAAAATTATCCTTTACATGGGTTTGCAATGCACCGGAGAGTCCGGAGGGAAACAATTTATTATTGAAGTTAAAAAAAATCCTTTATTTCTCATGAAACAATAAATTAGAAAATCTATAAGTTAAAATCAATAAAGTTTTGATTTTTATATTTCCAGATGTGTCTGTCTCACTCACGCAAATAAGCCAAACTCATTTATTTTGAATTCATTGTCTGCGTGTTGCCCTCTTTACGTGTTTCCTTTCCCCATTTCTCTCTCCTCTGTCACCGAAGCAAACACTTTGATTTTCTCGGACGAATTTTCCCGAGAAAATTAAAAAAAAACAACCACTCGAGAGGAAAACCCAGAAGACTCAGCTACTGTTTAATTTCAACAGCAACTCGTAAAGTCGCCGACTTTTATACTCTTTCTATTACCTCTAATTGTCTGAAGAATAGTATTTTAAATTTTGATTCATTAAAAGT